GAAGACTGATGCTTTGTCATCTTGCATACATGATGATACATGACCAAATTATATTCTTGAATAATAATAAAAAAAGGATTCCATATTTCTACTACAAAACTGTGTATTTTCCAGTACGATGGAAAAAGTAGTTTGTACTTTTTGTTTTTAGTGTAAGCTGAAAGTTTGCATGCAAAAGCCCCAGCTTTTTGAAAGGAGGAGGATGAGAGGACTCCATTATGGAAATTAACTTTTCTTTTTTTTTTGTCCTGCTCTTAGATTTATCATTTCTGATAAAGTCTTCCCTGATAAAAAGTTTCATTTCAGCTTCTTCCATCTGTTCATGTAGGTCCCGTAATTCAAACATAGCAACCTGAAATTTTCTGTGGCCTCAATAAAGTCTTCACCACTGGGATAAAGTGGAGAGCCCAGCTTGTGGAGAAAGACCTCATATGGCCCTTCATCTTGGCCAGTCAAGTCTGAAACTCTGTGTCCTGGAGCTCCATGTTGTGGGTAGCTGGTCAAAGTCCCTGAGCACTGCTTTCTGTGCCAGCAACCAGAACTGTAGCATGCTGTTTGGGGTCAGCTATTGGGCAGCAGCTGCTGAGCCCTCAGAAAAAACATTTGTCTTGGATTTCTCAGCTCAGACCTCATTCTAGCTCTTGGCCTACTTAGCCCAATTTCAGCCTCTGTGGTTGTCTGGTTTCCAGGTTGAACAAGGACACTTATGTCACCATTCCCCTACAGACTGAGAAATGAAAGGTGAGGCCTGGAAGAGAAGAGCTTGTGCTGCGTGGTGTGGGTGGTGCTGGTGCAGCAGCAGGAGGTTCTGCAGGGAGGCAGTGGAGGGGATGCACAAATCCCACGGGACTGCAGGAGCAGCACTGGCAGTGTCATAAGAACACGGGTTGTGGTGTCCCTGAGGGCTGTGCAGGAGTGTTTGCAGGCATTACTGCTTCACTGTGCACAAATATCACTGGAGATAAGGTGAAGGTGGAAGGGTAGAGCAAGTGCAGTACTCCATCTTCAGCTTGGGAAACGGACAAGAGCTCTGTTCTCTTCCCCCTTTTGTTTAACTGAGCCTTTCCAGTATCTGTCAGGTTGGGGTGTTCCTGGTGGTTATTAATACCTCTGGTGACAGCTTCCAATTTTGCTGCCTTGTTAGAAGAGTTCTGGAAATCACAGGTGAATTGGCAGATCTGAAGGGTTGACAGTTTGTCAAAATATAGCTGGTAGGTACAGTTACGCTCTCATTCCTTCAGTACTAGTACAGAACATGGGATTGACACTCCAGAGAGTGAAAATGATTTTCACAGATCAGAGAAGGCACACTGTGTGCCAGGGTATACTCCTCCAATGTGCAGAAGCATCTTCTGTCAGCTATGGAGTGATGGGAGTGGGGACTTGGGATTGGAAGCATTCCTTTTGAGTGAAAAAGTTATGTGGTTGGGCGTTGATGTTAAAATGCCAACAACCACCCATCTTTTCCAACTGCAGGGAACTGAATAACCCTTGCCCTGTAGCCTGGGAGCTGTAGCAGGCAGCTTTTGCTTCCTCCCTGCTCCATTAGCTCTCACACAGGCTGTGAATAACTAGGTCTAAACCTATTTCTCCCCTTCATAAAATCCTACTTTTATGACTACCTGAGAGAGTGCTTCATCCATGCCCTGAATTACCAGGAAGGCAGCTGAGTTTCAATCTCTGATATTGGGCCTTCTCTGTGGAATTGATAAAAATAGGAGTCAGTGCTGGGTGCAGTGGCAGTTTTGGTAATACAGGATCCTTTTTCACTGGAACTCAAGCTGATGCTACTGAACTCCTCATGGGTGTCTCCTAATTCCTACTTGCTGACATCAAACTGGACAGAAACTGAACTAACGGCTTAAAAATTCCATCTCCAGTCATTCTTCACTCCCAGACAAACCCATCTTTGTACACAGCAAGGAGCTGATGGAAAGAAATGCTAGTAGCTCTGGAAAACCTTTTTTCTTTTCTCCATGCCAGCTTCCACTATTTTGCAGCAAGAGTGCAAAAGTTAATTATTTCCAGCAGAAACTTTAAAATATATTGACACCAACTGCCTGCTGAGTCCCTGTTCTTTTAATACTGCTTCTTGACAGCTCACTTTAGAATTATTAATGAATAATTATTTCTCCAGTAAGTCCTCTTACTTTATCATTCTTGCCTGTAACAGCCATGCAGGTGGATGGCAGACCAGGAAGGAACAGAACCATTGTCTCCTGCATCCCACTCCAGTGATGCCTCCTTCCTGAAAACAGGAAATTAAACATATTATTGCCCTTCAAAGTATGTAGTTTTGGCTGCATAAAGTGTACAGTCTAAATTAAAGTCTCCCTCTCGTGCCTCCTTTCTGTCAGGGAGGACAGCTTTTCACTTCTTTCCCTTCTTGTAATGCACACCCTAAAATGGAGAGGCAGCAGATTTGTGCTGTTCTGTCTTCAAGGGGAATAGGTAAGGAAAGCTGAACCTGAAAAAGGTGCAAAAATGAGTTATTGAGAAAAAAGAGCTAAGGGAATTTTTGTAAGCATGGTGGTGCTTTCCCTCTCAGACATGAACACCTTTCCAAAATAAAAGGAAGAACGTCAGAAACCCAGCCAGGCCAGAAAGCAGTGCAGTTTTCAATAAAGAATACTTTTGTGTTGTGGTTTTTCTTTCTGAGTTTGGTAATCTTTAAAATTTCAGACTTTGTGCGTTCAGGGGTGAGTTTGCTAACTGAGAAAGAAGCAGAAATGAAGTCTGGCTATTTGGTTGGGCTTTTCAGCTTAACCCTGCTTGTATTCTGAGAAACTCTCACAGTAAGTGCAACAGAACCAGTGTTTCTAACAAAGCAAGCTCCCAAATTGTGTTTTCTTGGGGAAGCTAAAGCTGTGCAGAGCTCACAAACAACCCACAGGTGCCGAGGCCAGCCGATTTCCCCCATGGGATTAAAAAGCTTGTTCTGCCTGTGGAAGTTGGAGGAGAAGGAGATTGGAGAAGAAGATTTAAGAATGTGTGTAAGTGTGAGCAGCATGGGTGGCTGCAGAGGGGTTGCCACCGAAACCTCTGGTGCTGCAGGGAGGGAAGGCCAGGTCTGGGGAGGGCTGGCCTTGCACCCCTTCTTCCTTTGCTGCTGGGCCCCTGGTACAAAACAGAAACTGAAAGAGATTGCTTCCTTCTGGCCAGAAAGCATTCACGTGGAAACTAGCACTGCAGTTTTATCAGGGCAAAGCAGACGCTTGCTGGGCTTTTAAACAGCCACTTTGTGTCTCCTGTATCTTCTCCAACCCACTGCAACATTGCCAGGGGTGTTCTCAGAGATCTTCTTATCTAACCACAAAGCTGTTTGGATCGAGAAGCAAAATGGATTGTTTGAAGGCTAGCAGAAAGATTGTGCTGCCAAGAAAGACTGCTCCTGCTTATAAGTGTAGCAGCAGCCGTGGCATTAACACAGCTGGAATCAAAACTGCTGCAGCTGCTGAATGCTGAAGTTGGGCCTCTCCCCAGATAACATTTGTTGTCTGGCTGAGCTGGTCACTGTGGGTGTCCTCTCTGGGTTCCACCCACCCCCAGACCTCGCTTACAAATACTTTCAGAATAAAGTGTTTTGAGGAAGCATACCTGGCTTGTTTACCATTTCAGCTGACTGTTTCCAGACTTCTTGCAAGGGCCCTTTTGGAACACTGTGCAGGATTAACTCCTGTGGTCACCAGTGATGACCAGAGTCAGGGAGATGATGGCTGTGGCTACGTGTCTTTCTGCCCAGTCCCTTGGCATCATCCCATACGTGCCCATTTTAGTATGCCTGTACATTTCACAGGCCTGTTTTTCACTCGATGGAAATCATGACTTTTGCTCAGTTAAGGAGTTTGAATACTAGCTGGTGTGTCATTTTGTCCAGTTCCTCATTCTGTAACTTAAATTTATGTCAAAACTGTATAGAATTTTTTGTCTGCTGCACCATGTCAAGACTGATTTTTAAAGTCAGCATGATTTTGACTTGAGTTGCAGTTCAGCAGCTGATTTCCCTCCTGCTCTCACTTTTTTTAACTTTGTGAATACCAGTTATCCAGAAATGGTTTTGCATGTGCTCTTTCACTGGAGATTAAGTTCTCTGTTTGTCCAGGAATCCTTTAGCTTTCTCCCAGTTTCCTTAGCTGGCTGCTAAGTGTCTGAATGTGGGTAACTAAGAAGGACACAGTGAAAGTAGTTTGTTTAATTCCTTTGATGCTGTTTTCTCAGTTTAACTTTGTGATATTATGCAGTTGGCCTCTGTCAGAGTTATTAAATTTGCCTCCTGTAAAATGTTAATTTAACTGTAGTATAGTAGATGAAAAGACACCAGACTTGCAGGGTTCAGTTGGTGGTTTTTTGTGGGCATTTGCATGTAGTGCCTGAATCAAGTACTCACCAGCCAATTACAGTATGTTGGTAAACTTTTTAGAAACTTTGTTGGAAGTGTTCTTGAAACAGACATCATGAAACATAACTGCACACAGCAACAATTTGGCTTTGCTGTTACCAAAATGTTATGTGTGAAGCTGGTAGAGATGTAAGCAGAGATGCAGTGTTTCATCAACTTTTGGTTCTCACACGCTGAAGTGTAGAGGGAGACCCTCCTATGTGATTTAATTTACCAGAAGACTCTAGTGGGGTTGGGTGATCCTGGATCATTAATTCTGGAAAGTGAAGAGACACACAGTTGAAAAAGCTGCCTCTTATTCTGCACAAAAAGCCTGAAGCAGCTGTGGCAAAGAGGCTGTATTATAAAAGGCACGGGGAAAATTGTAGTACAGTTCCATGGAACTAAGTAGGGTGTGAGACTTAATAAATGGCCAGTTGTGACCATAAAGAAAAGTCGTGGGTTTTCCTTAGGCAGCTGTCACTGTGGGGGGAAAAATAGAATCCTAATTATCAGCTGAGTTCAAAGTTAATATTTATGCAGTGAGTTGATAGGATAACTGTTCAAATATTTAGCACTTCCTTGTATTCACGGCAGGAACTGCAACGCTCAGGAAGAGGACGCTTCCTACTGGAACATGCTGCTCCCTTCTCTGCTTTTCTGACAGACAGCTTTGGGCGCCAGCACAACTACTTAAGAATTTCTTTGACTGAGAAATGCAACCTCAGGTGTAAGTGTCTGCTTGCTTTCTTCCACGGAGATCTTACGCACCATGCGATAAGCACGAGAGCTGGAACTTCCCACAATTACATCTGCAAAGTTTGTGGGAATGTTCCAGTGCTTGCCAGTTCAGTTTGATGTCTCTAAAGGCAGGTAGATAGACATAAAATCAGCTTTTCCTTCAGACTGGATCTATGGTACTTTTGAGACCCATCAAATGAGTCTTGCATTTTCTTCTGAAGGAGATTGCTTGTAAGATTTGGTGTATGATCTTATCTGTATTTCAGAAAAGCAGAGTCGTTTGACATCCATCAAAGACAGTCATACTTGGTGCATTTTGACCATCAGTATTACATTAACTGCTACTGGTTATTTTTTCCCCATGTGTTTCTGTATTTGTTTCAGGTCAGTATTGTATGCCAGAGGAAGGGGTTCAGCTGACCCCTAAATCGGAGCTACTTACTGCTCAGGAGATAATCACCCTAGCCAGGCTGTTTGTGAAGGAAGGTGTAGAGAAGATCCGACTGACAGGGGGAGAGCCACTCATCCGTCCAGATGTGGTTGATATTGTGGGTGAGTTCCCAATAAATGCAGTGTGTTTCAAGGTGACTTGCTATATATTGATCCAAGAAATACGCTTATAACCATCTACTAATACAGTCCAGCAACCTGAAGAGTAATTATATATTTAGTGATGGTGCTTTTTCCCAACATTGTGAAATGCAAGATAATTCAGTTCTGCTCACCTGCTTGGACAGAAGTTAGGTCTCTTCAGAGTACAGCAGCTGAACTCAGTGTTGTCTTCATATTTGTGACTGCTAAAATAGCTTGCAATAATGCAGCCTTGGGGTGAAAGATCAAGAATTAATGTGATGAAGTCCTTACTGGGGAAGAACAGTTGGTATGTGCTTACAAGCAAAACAAATTTACAGGTTTTCTTTTGGACTTATTTTTGGGAGTGGGGACGGGAGGTGAGGTCAGAGGGTGAAGGTGTTTTTGTGGTTTGGTTTTGTTTCCTTGATAACAGATGTCACTTGGGTGTCTGTGTTTATAATAAAGAATGGTGGAAAGGTCTGTGCTTTTACAGTTAGTGATGAAGAGTATTACTTCAATGGAAGATGAATTACTGGGTAATTTTTAGAAGTCTTATCTCTTGCAGTTGGTGTTGTGTTGACTGAAGGTGCCTGTTTTCTCTTGAGCCAGGTGCTTTTTTTCCTTGCCCAAAGCATCATGTGTTACATTATGTTACATTACAATAGCTTTGTGTAGTGGCAGTGTAGGGGGGATGCTCTTTGGTGTATTTTGGGGAACTGAACTGGTTTGTTTCTGCACATGCCCTTATAAGTACCACATATAAGGAAGTATTAATATGGAAGATGAAGGTCTTGAAAGTAGAGAAACTGCCTACTGATACACTGAGCTTTGGTGCAGAGAACAGTTGATATGTGCTTCTGCTCTGTTTTGTTCAGGATTTGGAAGGCATTTATGATCTTTTCCAAAGGAAGCAGCAGAATAGTGTAGTATGTAGAACTGAGCTGTTTATAGCTGGAAAAGATGTGGCTAGAGTGAGCTGGGTTGAGTCCCATTGAACCTTGATTGTGAGGGGTCCTGAAACTGCACTAACTTCATCTTTTTGGAGCTCTGTAATACTGTCCTTCAGGGCATTTTACCCAGGTATGATAGGTTATATTTTTTATTTAGGACTGAGAGTGCTATGTGCCTTTCAAGAGACCTGTTTCTTTCAAGAAGGCATTCCTCTTTTCTAGCAAGAATAGGTATAGTTATTTTTATCTGGTTTTCAGCAGCCAAAAAAGGGGGTGGATTTATAAAATAAGTTGTATTTTAAAATAAAACTTAAGCTTTATAGTTCAGCAGATGACAGTTCAGGCATGAAAATGAGTAGAAATCTACATAATCAGTTCAGCACAGAACTTTCTTATAGTGATTTTGATTTTTGATTTATCAGTGATAGGTGATGGCTTTTTATACTCAACACAGCTACTCTGAGCTTGAGGATGCAAGTTGAGTGGGCAAGTCAAGGCAAAATAGCTATCTCATTGTTGCAATTCTGAAGTATTGATATGGGAAGGAGAAAAAGCTGCTTTTTTTGTTTGTTTTACAGTAGTTATAGAATTCTGAAAGGTTTAGTTCTGAGGCTGGTAGAGGGAGACATCATTTCAAACTGCTGGGCTTTCATTATTCTGCCTGTGTTCTTGTTCATGGCTCAACTTGGACACATTCATAGGGATCATTTTAATGGATGACAAAAGAGAAGTTATCTTCAGGTAAAGGTAATGGATGTTAAGAGGATTGTCCTGTTGCATTGTTTTATTCTCTTATGACTTTATATTGGCCTGGCTGTTTATTTTTTCTATAGCATACTGAAAGTTAGCAAATTAAGTCTATAAACACTTTTTGTCTTCTTGGACTTTGATGTTACTCTATAGTGCACAAGTTTAGGATCAAGATACAAGTCTCAAAACTAAATAGATCACATGTAACAACTATGAGAAAACTCTCTGAAGGGAAAACAAGCCCAAACATGTCTTCTGCAGAATTTGAGTCAGGCACCTTTATTGAAGCCGTCTCAGCACAATGTACTGGTTTGGGGTGGGGTGGAGTTAGTCTGGATTTCTAGATGGTTTGTATAAGCTGGCTACAATATCTCAGGTACTGAATAAGGTTGAGACTTAAGTTAGGTTTGTTTTCAGCAAATCTTTCTCTTAACCATAAGTGGTCTGTGAAATACCATTAAAGATGAAAAATGTTAGTGCTGGATTACTATCACTGTATTTTTCTAATATTCAAGTTCAAACTTTTTTGTTGTTTCAATGAACAAATGTGATTTTAAGCTACTGTAGGAGACCATGTTATCCAGAGACCTGCTGCAGTTCTTTAGATTATGTAAAAACTTATTTTAACAAATGCACAAACATAAAGTATGGCTTGGCAACTAACACTTGCTGAGAGCTAAATCGTATCCTGGGGACTGCTGGAAACATAGGTTTAATTCTTCTCTAAAGCAGCTGATAGTAGAATATAGAGCCCATCTCTTTTGGAATACTCAAAGTTTAAACTAGCACCAGATATAAACTGTATGATAGCTATTTATTATTAATTGCCTGAGAAGTACACATCTTCACTGCCAATCATTTTCCATGGCATAAGGGACAGATGCTTGGATGGCTTTTTATAGCAAGGTACATATTTCAAGAGTGAGGTGCAGGGTAGACTTGCCATTTCAGGTGTTAGGAAGTACAGGTACCTTTTCTGGACTCCATCAGGAGAAGTACAATTGAGGAAATAACTGGAGGAGAATATTAAGAAACTTATCTGTTTAAGAAGTTGCTCCTGATCCTAAAGGAAAAAGCAGATATAAAAGGGTTTACTTGATAGCTTGAGTCTGACATACATGCTTTTAGCTTCACACTATTGAATTATACCATCTGTTCCATTTCCTTTTCTAATTGATAGTGGTATCAGTTGCCTTTGCTTGAGCTGATTGTTGCTAAAGCAGTGACCAAAGCTCAGCCAACAGACTTAACAGAGGTACAAGGTGAGTTACAAAGTTATGAAATCTCTTTAATCCCTTTTGAATTTAGAGGTCAACAAGGCAAGGAACCAAGCAACTGCAAATACTCTACTTCTTAGCTTGCACAGATAAGGTAATGTTTGCTAACTGATCTTTTTTAACTTGTTGGTGTTAGTGTTGAGTCTCCAGCTTCGATTTCTCACAGTTGGCTTCTGTCCAATCTGTTATTACAAGGGGTTCCACATATTAGTGTATTTCCAGTGCCTCATCCTTTACCTCACCCTGTCTGAAGAGGAAGAAGGTGCATTGATAAGAGCTGCTGCCTGCAATAACTGACCTAATCAGCTGGTGGTACTTCTTAAAATTGCTCCATTTCAGGCTGCAGCATGGCTTTGATTTTATTCAGTGCTTTTATGCATTTTACATTTCCAGCAATGAAGCCTGTAGTGGCAGATAGATAGTCTTTTTGTCTCTGTTGTTAGGCAGTTGAACATTTTGTGCATTTTGAGGATGTAACTAGAAGTGGTGATATTCTTAGGCTGTCCTCTGGCTGCAGTGTGTATCCTAGTAGTAGCTAGCATTAGATAATCTTTGGTAAACTTGGGCCAATAGGACTCATCCTCTAGGAAGAGGTTATTCCTGGTGAGTTGGTAGGATTTTGAGATGTGAATGCCAGACAAATCTAGTTCTTAGTAAAGATTGCTCTTTCATTACAGCCTCAGGTTCCAAATGACTTTATGGAGCTCTTAATTATGTTTCAAAATGCTGTCTCTGTAAACTTCAGCATCTTTGGTGTGACCTGGCTTGTCCCATTCCAGAGTTTTTTTGCCCAGCTTAGGGTAAGTATTTTGAGAATAGCTGGGAAGCGAGGTAAAGCAGAAGGCAAGTCCTTATCAACATGAACAAACAGAGGTAAAACAGGGAGGGAAGAAGTGACTGTGAAGTATTTGTGCTGTAATTAAGCTGCCTCAAGAGTAAGGGTTCTTCAAATATTTCTCAACTAATTAAGGTGGAGGTTGTGAGAGAAGGGAGGAGGGAAAATAAGAAAAGAAAATGACTTTGCCATGGCTCTGCTTCTGCAAGTGGTTTATGAGGATTTTTTTTTTCCTATTTGTTATTGTAGTGATAACTGGAGGTTTGAAAGCCTGCCCTCTGGAGATCTGGTATGCTGAGGATTTCTGCATTTGGCTTACAAGGAGGCAGCTATTATCTAAATCTTAATCTCATTATATTAACTGGTTTTTATCTGGGTTTCTGTTGTTAGCCATTTTATAGTGTCTTGCCTAAGTGCTCTTCAGTTGGCTGGGCTACCACTGTGGGTCATGGAAATATTGCAGTTGTCAAGTGCAAGTGTTTTCTCCCTTGGAGGCTGTGGCCTTGGATTCTCTATAACAGTCTAGTATGTTAATCTTTTTCTGTTTAGTTAGGAGTATATTCTTTCAGCAGTTTAAAGTCCCTTGTGCTGGGAGCTACCTTTGGGTTAGAAGTAGTTTTTGCTAAAGCATAGCAGGATAAACATTGCTAGAGGAATGCAGCTGGTTCAGGTGTCAGGTATGAAAGGGGTGGTTTGCTGCTTATTATTAGTGCAGAGTGTAGAATTCAGTTTGCAGAGCTAGACTGAGGAAAAGAAGGTAGAAATAAATCAGAGACCTTCTTCCAACGAGGAAGAAGTTGTTTAGTCTAAGAAATAGAGAACAGAATTCCTATGCCTTTTCAGTGTTCTTCATAACCAGTTTTACTTGCAGTAAGCTACTTTCATACTTTTTGAAATGGATTTGTACTAAAATGGGTCTCTTAAACCAGCACAGCTGGAAGAAGGATGAAGCTCTGAGGTGTCTGTGTTTTTCTCTCACTCTCAGCGATATTTTTTTAATTTGCTTCACAGCTCTTCTTTTGGGTTTTCACTGTGGCTTACAGTTGACTGACTTGTTTCAAAGTGTCCTTTTCACTTGTTATATTTCTTAGGTCAACTCTACAAGCTAGAAGGGCTGAAAACCATTGCTGTCACAACCAACGGGATCAACTTAGCCAGACTGCTGCCGCGGCTGAAGGAGGCAGGACTGAATGCCATTAACATTAGCCTGGACACTTTGGTCCCAGCCAAGTTTGAGTTCATTGTCCGGAGGAAAGGTACAGGCTTGTCTTCTAAGAGAACTGTGTTAGGGCTTGCAGTGATGTTGAGAGTTGTTTGGTATGTCTGTCACATTCAGCTCCTTTGGGAGGGGAGTGAATTGCTATCCTTCTGAGGCTAGGAAAAGCAGTTTATGGTAACTTATTGGGTAGTGTCTCTCTTTCCTTCTTTCTACAACCCTTAGGCAGGGAGAGCCCCTTTAACTGGAGCTGGTGGAGTGGATGATGCTCAGCTCATCACAGTCAGTGGGACTGCAACTACAGATGCCAGTAATTGGCTGATTACTGGTTAGTCATGGATATCAAAAGGACTCTCCAAATCTTGTGTTTGTCTTGTGTGCTGCTGCTCTTTAATACTGCTCAAAAAACAGATGTTCCTGCTATAGCAGCTAGGGACTAGGATGCCACAAGAACTGAACTTCATGTCACAAAGAGCAGCAGTTTCTGGAATTGATATTTGGGGCATGCTAGCAGTAGTCTCACTTGTGATTACTGAAGTTCCCTACCTCCACTACTTTGTAACAGGACTAAACATAACCTATGCCTGGGGTCATATGAGGAGAGGTGCTAGCTTTGCATTGAGCTAGTAATTCTAAACAAAGTTTCAAAAATGCTTGGGTGTGCCCAGTGTTACAGATTCTTGCTTAAATGAATCCTAAGACTAATAATGAATTTCAGCTTCATGATTGAGCTTCCTTTTTCTGTTTCTGTCTAGTAACCTAACTTTGGCAGTCTAATGTGACTTTTGGCAGTGAACTTGCAATGCAGACAAAACCTCCGAGCAGCCACTAGATGGTGGAACAACATAAGATAAATGTAGGGTGAGGGCTGTAGAAATCTAGGCTGCTGTAAGAAGTAATTTCAACATTTGAATTGCTCAAATCGAAGCTCTGCTGGCAGGTGCAGAAAGGTGTCCTTGTTTACAGTCTCTCTGGGAGCACCTCTTCAGGTTTCTACATCACAGTGAAGAAATCTGTTCCTGTCATAAATCTGGCCAGAGCATTCCAGTGTAGGCTATTGCATTAACCTGGTTTTGTCATGGCACAGTTAGCTCTCAGAGAAATATTTGGGGGTGTGTAATTACAAGCAGGTGTTGACTCTGCTCTTTGGTTCTGCTCTCTGCATTTGAATGTTACCTGGTTTGTGACATTCACTGGAAACAAACCCGTGCTTTGCTACTGCAGGAGCAAACCTGATCCTCCACCTTCCTGAATTATATGGCCACAACTCTTCGTATCTGATTGGAAACTGTTAGGAATGTGCTGCTTATAAAGTAAACGAAAAGTTATTGGAGGATGAGGGTTATTTTTTATTTTTATAAATGTTCTCTTCCCCTCCTCCCTATTTTAAAGACAAAAAGGCCTTTAATCATAAAGAGAGAAAATGTTCAGCTAAATAGCATAGAGAATGAACAGGAAAGTTTCTAGGACTCAATATTTTTAAGGAGGAGAATAAAATCTCCAAAATATAATTTTTTTTTTTAAAGTGGAGATCAGGTAAAAATAGTAACAATAAGTTGGATTTTTTTTTCTCTCATTAAGAGCTGAAATTATGTAAAAATACTTTTTTTTTAATTGTTTTTTGAGGGTTTTTTATTTAATAGGAGATTTCCAAGTATGGAATGAGCAGAGAATAGAGTGACTACCCTACTGTGCTACCCTGTCTTCTGTGGCAGCTCCAGAGGCGACAAGATATAGCTCTATTAAGGTGAGAGGGATTCCTGGTCTTAGACTCCTACAGGCTGACAACTTCTGTGGAAAGTAAAGGTGGCATCTGGTTATGGAGCTAACCAGGAACTCAGGAAACTTAGAATCATTTTTTCTGCTCCTCTGGAAACTCATTGGAGGATTTCAAGAAAGGGCTGGAATTTTGTCCCTTTGCTGCAGGTGACCTGCTTTCCACCTGCTTTTATTCTCAGGTGCTTGGGATAGAGGAATGACTGTGAGATGATCAGAGATTTCACTGAGTTATGGAAACACATTAGAGGGCCATAATATTTCCACTTCTCCCCATCTACCACATTCTAAGGGATGAACAAATAAAAAGTACTTTCTTGCAGGTAGCCAGTCTAACCTGTTTTGCAGCCCATCCCTTCTTTTTTTGCTCAGTATGAGGAAAATTAGATAATATTGTACTGTAATTGTGTCATTAACCATTGACTTGAAGCCTTTCTTCTTGTAAGGATTAAATGTTGGGAGGTGTTGTCCCACATAGGATTGTTCTAAGTTTTTCTGTGCTTTAAAAATTGGCTAAAGTTATGATTTCAGAAGAAATCTAAAATGATGAAAATACTGATTTTTTTTTTTTTTTTTTAAATTGGGTGGAAGAGGAGAAAAGTTGTTGTTTTGCAATATTGAACAAAAACTTGGAGAACTTCTGAGCCTTGACAATATTTCCTGACACAATGACATCTAGTATTAATTTCTGCTGTAAAATTTTGAAATTGTTTGGGTTTATTCTTTTTGTTGTTCCATTACCACATAAGCACTTTGATCTAGAAGGGTTGTTTCAGTAAGTATGGTAATACAAAGGAACTCCTAACAGCTTTCCATAAAGAAAAAACAATGGAAAACTTAACATCAGAATATGAAATGCAGTCACAGATTTTTATATTTTTACTGTAAAACATTTTTATTTTAAATTATCACCCTGTCCCCAGAACCTTTCAGTGGAAAAAAGCTCATAGGTGCTGTTAATCAGAATAGCTTACTTTTTGGTTTTTTTCTGCTTGTGGAGATTTTTGATAGCTGTTCTAAACCACACTCCTGTGCTAGTGTGGCAGGAAGTAAGAGGCAGAACTGGGAAGGACATGGCCTTAGATGCTTTGCCAGCTTTAATCCTGTTCCATACCTCTCCAGGGAGCTGAGCCCAAGCACGCATTCAAACATGCAGAGTTTTTAATCTGCTGCTAGCAAGTGATTGCATCCTGACCTTTTTAGTTAAGTTGTTTCACCTTTCCTCAGTCCTGCAGTCACACGTAAGGTTTTCTGAGCTGTTGCAGATCCCATTTGTGGCTCTGGATGTGCCTACAGCAGTGTATCATTATCTGTTGCCACATTCAGCCTGCAACCTTGCTTCATTGGAACAAAAGCCACCACCAGTGCTGCAAACTTCCTGAGCACGTCCAAAACACGTAGGTGGTGAAGGAGAAGGGTGACTGACAAGTCATAAATTCAAACAGTTGCTTGCAAGAGTTTTATCACAGTCTTCTCTGTGCTTTTCACCTCACTTTTTACAGCCAGGACTAGCATTAGGACCAGTTTATAAACCAGTTAGCATCTTCTGCTTTCCTGTGCCCATGCTTTAAAATGCCTTTACCAGCCAGAAAGTGGTTAAGTGAAAGTTTTGTATCTCTCCTTTTTCTTCTGATCTTGAACTCATCCAAGATTAAGTATGCACAGAATGTTAAGTTATTGCTTATTTCTGGTAAAGCACCTACAGATGAATGAAGGTATGATCTCTTCACTAGAGAATTTTGAGTTTCCAGTAGATAAGGGGTAGGGAAACTTGACCTACCTGGAAAAACATATGACTAAGAACAACACAGAGACTGTCAGCACAGACTTCTGGGAAATATTGCCCTCTTGCTAGCACCTCTAAAGTGTTTGCTTTTGAAGACTACAGCTTTTAGAGGATCTCAGTGTCACACAGTGTTTGGTTTCTCATACCTCTCAAACTAATGTGCAGTCAGTAGCTTTGGGAAGCCAATTACATCTGTAGCCAGGGATGAACATGGAATCCTGGGGCTTTTGTTTGTTCCTAACCCCACTCACCTTCTCATGCACTTTAGAAAGGTCCTTTTAAAATTCACTTAGCAACGTTGCTCTCTGACTCAGAACAGTGAGAATCTGCATTTTAGTTGAAGACATATGTGCCATTATTATCAAGTAAACATCAATTTGTTGTTCTTTCTTCATTGCATCTGGAGGCAGTTCACAAATGCTTTCCACTCTCTTTAAGAAGAGCATAACACAAGGCAAAGCTGGTGTATGGGGAAGTGGAGAGTCATATGCTGTTGATATGTGGATGTCCAAAAATGTAGAAAAACATACCAATATTTATGACTCCTTAAATACCAGTTAAAAAATGGACCTCAGTGACTTGACCACAGTACCACTGTGGAGGGGGTGTGTGTAGAATTGAAATCTCTTTACTTGCAGCTCTTCTTACTTACAGCCCTGTCTAATGAATCAGATAGGCTTTTATTTGTCATCTTTTTGTCTTGTACTTAATAACCTCCTTTTGCATTCTATTTTTAAACAAGAAAAACTATTTTTGTTCTTTTTATATCTTAGGCTTTCACAAGGTCATGGAAGGAATCCACAAAGCCACTGAACTTGGCTACCGTCCTGTTAAGGTAAAGCCAGTGTTTGTTTACTCTGAAACTGTTGTGTTTTACCATAATTTCTGACAAAAATTTCAGCTCACCTGATGAGTAATTTATTATTCCTCCCCCTGTGACTAATTTTTGGTAAAACTGATGAAAAAATTTAGTAGATTGAAGATCACATCAAGAGGTAATGGAGAAAATTGGTATAATTTCTTTGAGGAGCTGAGGATACAGGGTCATATTGCCACACTAGCCTATTGATTGCCTAGCTGCAGAGTGGTCCTGTCCTGTACTTGCCTCATCCTACCCCTTCTATTCATGTGGCACTTGTCTGACCCAGCTGTGAACTTGGCCAAGGGAGTTAACAAGCAGAAAACTACCCTGCAGAAAGACATTAATTTTCTCGTGGTTTATCTCCTTCAGTTGCTTACAGCAGACTCTGATGAGTGCCAGTGTGAGTGGGAGGGAAAAGGAGTCCTCCTTTGGGGTTGCAGGTAGACCAATTTAGCTGTAACATGAAACTTCACCCTAACTCTGCTGTTTGCAGTTCTGCAGCTGTGTTTCCCTTCAGTTTCACCAGTGTTTTGGAAGATCTGTTATATGTAGGTGGATTAGGCTAAAGAGCTATGAAAAATACTCTAAAATTAAACTAGGTTTTAGGCTTTCCTGAAAGATGGTAAGAATTGTGATGCACAGTGCTTGGACATAGAAGTCTGCCTTGCTAACAGGGATTGTTTTAGCAACTGCACAGCTGTCTGTTGTTCTTCAGATAAAGCACAGAGGACCTGAGGCTTCAATGTACATGTTGTTTATGAAGAATGTGCAGGAAACTCAGTTTTAACCTCTTTATGGAAGAAGGCAGAACTAGTCATCCTGCAGCCGGTGGTTATGGAATGCTTTGTGAATACTTCCTGGTCTGGGGAATTTCTCTGATCTGCCATAAAAAGTTCTATAGCAATCAAAGGTGCCCTTGCCAGTTCTTTTATAGAAGCCATACAGTGTAGGACTGAGGAATGGAGTTGTCATTGTAGACAACAAAAACTGATATACCTTAGATGGGCAAGATGCTTTTGTTACCTAGCTTTTACTGGTTTTACATTGAACAAGGCAACTTTAACAGCTTATGTTGGATGCAAAAACTTACAGGCAAGCTTGGCAGAAATGATCACCTAAACCATTGCAATCCTTCCAGCTTCTTTCATCACTTTTTCTTTCAAAGGTAAAACAAACATTCTCTCTATCCATGTTGCCTTCTGCAAGGACTATGAAACCTTAGGCAAGAGGGAAAAATGTCATACTCTGCTCACTAATTTCATGTGTCTGCTTTTCCTGCAGGTAAACTGTGTGGTGATGCGAGGCTTTAATGAGGATGAGCTGCTGGGCTTTGTGGATTTCACAAAGGATCTGCCCCTTGATGTGAGGTTTATAGAGTACATGCCTTTTGATGGTAAGCAGTCTTGCTTTGACATTCTTCATGGCATGGAGTGTGCCTTAGACATAGGCACATTTGGTTGGTGGTTATTCATCTAGGGGGCTTATCTCTGGAAGTTTTGGTGAGCTTTTTTTAGGAATTAGAAAATGCCTTAAGTTTTGTGTTGAATTTTTTGCAACTTACCTGTCTTCCCTGGAATAGATGGAAAAGAATTAGTTGCAGGATTAGTTGGGGCTGGGACACCTACAGGGAAAACAGGGATTTGTGGAGAACATAAAGATGGAAAGACTGCAGTCCAAAGTTGTGCTGGTTTTTGTTGATTCCAGGCAATAAATGGAATTTCAAGAAGATGGTGAGCTACAAAGAAATGCTTGATACAATCAAACAGCGATGGCCTGAATTGGAGAAATTGCCCTGTGAAACTTCCAGCACAGCCAAGGTGGGGTTAGACAAAGAACATGTGAAAAATAACCCCGTTCTTTCCCTGCCCTAAATCTCCAAAGTTCAGCATTTATATTTGACAAGCAAAGTCAAAAAAACTCAGTGTACTAACTGTGGGATTTTGGTCAAGCTGCCTGTATTTGGGTTGACTCTCTGGTCGTAGTCTTTACCTTTAGAAGTGCAATGTGTTTACTAAATGCCTCTGTCAGATACAGTGAATAGCAGGCTTGTAGCCTGTATTCACAGCTTTTGAAACTTCTGTCAGTTTATGTCTGCAAATAACTGCACATTCATGAGCCTGAGGAAACAGTTGTTCAGGGAAATAACAGTATTGCTTTAGCGTGTGCAGAGTCACATGGGGGATTTCTACCCTACCTGAATCTGTGGCTTATGGCTGCCTGAGGAAGAACGTGCCCACTGGCACCACCTGTCACTTGGTCACTACAAGAGAAAACATTTAACAAGTTTCTGATTTCCAGGAACAGGGCAAAATATACTGGAACCCCTGACAAAGGTGATTTTGATTTATTTTTTTTTCTCTCATGTGACCTTACAGCTGAAGAAAATCTGTGTTTAAAATGTCTTCTGGTTCTTGGGAAGTGGAGCTTTAAAAAATGAGGGGTCTATATTTGACTCTTTTTTTTTCTCCTCTGCATTTCTTCAGAGTTACAAGGTGCCACATTTCCAGGGTCAAGTCAGCTTTATCACCTCCATGTCAGAGCACTTCTGTGGGTCCTGCAATCGGCTGAGGATAACAGCAGATGGGAACCTAAAGGTTCGTGGGGAAATAGGATTCTCTTTGCTTTTGCACAGCAAAAGTAGTGTTAAAATTCTTCCCTTGAGTAGCTGGGATCTAGAGTGGGATGGAAAGACAAATAATTATTACCAGCTAAATCCTGTTTGTCGATCCTGTAATTATTCCTCTTCAAGCTTGTTGGGCTGTTAGGGAGATGTGGCTTCACCTTTCTTTGGATTTTCTTTTTTGTTAACATATTTAACTGCAGTTGTAAGACATGGCTGCAAGGCCAGTAAATATAAACATTTATTTTAATCTTTGACTGAAAATCTTCTTAAACATGTGACAAGCAGATGATTTCCCCTTAAAAAGAGATCCAAGCAGCTGAGACAGCTTGGCTTTTGTCTTCCACAAAGACCCTGTCTTTTTTTGCCACATATCTTCTTGCAACTCTTCTCCTTCAAGAGCAGCCTGTACATTTGTTTAACGTCTGTAGAAAGGGGAGGGATAACCATTTCCTGCCACGTTGAAACTGGCAGTTTCTGGGGAAAAATTAAAGTTTTCAGTTAAAATTTGGCTCTTATGCATTGTCACCTAATATTGACAACAGCTGTGCTGCTGTCTAATGTCAGATGACCCAGGCAGCCTGAAGGCCCAATGATTTTGGGTTACATAAACATCCCAAGCTGTCTGTGTGTGTACATGAAGAGAGATAAAGAAAACAGCCTCCATAAATGTTTCTTCTTCAACAGGATAGGCCTCTTCAAAACTCTTACTCTGAGGTGGGTACAAAATACTTCTAATTTCTCTCGTTTCCTTGGGTTGGCTGCAGGTGTGCCTTTTTGGGAATTCAGAAGTGTCCTTGAGAGATCACCTACGGTCGGGTGCCTCAGAGGAAGAGTTGGTTCAAATCATTGGAGCAGCAGTGGGCAGAAAAAAGAAACAGCATGCTGGTATGTTTGTTGTACCTGAAAAGCAATGGCAGTGACATGGGGATGTCCTCCTGCTGCTGTGGGATGCATTGACTTGCCAGGAGAAAGAACGAAGGAAAAGTTTCTTGAATCAAGCTGCATTAACTAAGGAATTTTCCCATCTGATAAGAGTGTTGTCTGGTAGAAAGCTGGTAACATACCAGTCACGCAGTTACTCCAAAATCTGGATGTCAGTTTTGACTCCTCTGATCTTCCATGTGAGCTAGAATCCAGACCATCTAAACGTCTTTCAGACTGACTTTTGTCTTCAAAGAGAGGCAAACACCACTGCTCGTGGTAACACCAGCAAAGCATAAAGCTAAGCAAAAACTGATGGTCTTTTACTGGGTCCCTTTTTTCTTAAAATGAGTTTGCTGTAAAATAAGTACTAAAGCTAAACTGAGCTGACAATGCAACTCTGTATTGAACTGTTTCTAGAAGTAACAATTCTATTTTTGACTATGCAGAAATTTGTAGCCATTCATCTAGTGCTCTGCATAAGGTCATGACATGAGGTCCAAGATGATGTAGTCACATCCTCAGGCTTTTCAGAGTTTTTATTGATATAAACTATATTTCAGTCACATCTGAAGCTAACCCTATTTTCATAATCTGGCTGCAGCTGGGAATGCTGACCTCGTGGACATGAACTGGCTTTATGATCATGGAATAGTCCCCTTTACACTGAAAATATACTTTGGCTCTTTTGTTCTCTTGCAGATTCTGCCAGATTACTAAAAGTTGGTTTTGTCCTTTTTTCTTGATGTGTAAAACAAATTTAAAGATGCTTTTAAATCCCAGAGTAGACTGACTTGTAAAGTGCATTGGTCTGACCCAGATAAAATAGTGCCTTGTAAACATGAAGGGAGAGGTGGAAGGATTGGTTCTTTTTCTTTTAAACCATTCATTTTTTAATTTCTGATTTGAGGAAGCTGGGGATGGGGGTAGGGAGAATGTTTTCACTCTAGTAGATGCATTTTGACATCAGCAGCATTTACATGACATTTGCTTTCTTCATCCTATTTGTGTTAATCCCAGAATTGTCCCTCAGGCCTTCTGTGATTGGACTGCTTTGAACTGGAACAGCGTTAACATCTTACCCATAGAGCTAGTGCAGTTAAATGCTATTGCTAAGAATCAAGAGAGTCCCAAACTGTTAGAATTCTATAGTAGATAGACTGTTATTCAAATTGTGGAAAGCTTTCTGGGAAAGGGTTCTGCAGTGTGATAGACCCATGGCAGCTGGGTGCTTGGAGACTGTGGCAGCTGTGGTTTTAAATAGTGCCATGCTGGATTCCCCCCCCCCTCCAGCTCCCTTGGTCTTTATTGATTTTTGGTTTTCCTAGCATGCAGGTTGTACTGTGATGAGCAGAAAACTAAACATATAAACCAGATGCATGACTTAAACCCTAAGATTTTTATGTGTTCCTTATTTTATTTCTAGGCATGTTTAACATTTCTCAGATGAAGAACCGGCCCATGATCCTGATTGGTGGGTGACAAATCAGTACGTAATTCATACGCAATGATTTTGTTTGGCTTTTGTCTTTGGGGGAGCAGAGCAGATTGGGCTTTTAAATCCAACTTGTGTTTGGTTCTGGCTTGGGTTTATGGAAAGAAATGGGTTTCTGAAAAGGCAGTTGTGGTTAACATGCTGTAGTGGAAGAGGAGGAAAGGTTTAGCATCTCTACCAAGCTTTATCCAGTCTTCTGATTGACAGCACTGGTTTTGTTTTCCCTAATTTTGAAAGTTCATTATCTTGTCCAAAAGGATCACTAGCTTTCCTATTCTATTTCCCATCTGCTTCCTTTGTACTTTGCAAGAATAGTATAGTAACTTCTCAGGGAGTTTGGGGTGAGTGTTATGAAGTTGACCAGGTTGATACATAAACATAAAGGATGCAGGACAGACTTTTAGCCCTGGATTAAGAAATTCAACTTTGTTTATAATACCTAGAGCCAGTGACTTGACAGACATGCAAGTTTTCACACCTCATTACTTCAGAATCTGTAACTTGGGGCTTCGTTCTTTTGGAATGTCCACTTACTGTTGCAAAGTTTCAGCACACAACAGTGAAAACTGTAGAATAGGATAGGTGACTTAGAGTCTTTTTTTCTCCTTATTGTGTCTGTTGGAGATGTTTGCTAACTCTCCCTTCTGCCTGAAGCTCCATTCTTGAGTAATGTGGCACTGCTGGGCTTCTCTTACTGATTTTTTACATCTCCTTCAGTGTGGTATTACCTCCTCCATGCCTACATTTCCCTGTCTGTTAGACAGCTATCTTCCCAAATACCTTTCTTCTTTGTTAGACTTAAGAAATGCTTGTAAGAGTTACCATTGTGAGATTAACTGGAAGTTGTTCTGTTATTTCTTATCAATAAGAGGGGGGAAAAAAAGCAGCAAGGGTAGAAGGGGTGAATGTTGTTTCAAACCCAGTCTGTCATCCTCCCATTGATGCTGTGGAGCAGGCTAGCAGCCCTGCAGCATGAACCACAGCTTTTAAAATGGGTGCCCCTGGGGAGAGGAAGGGTAGCGTGCAATAATTTGCAGGTCTTTACTGCAGGTGATATAACAACTGCTCTTTTTAAAAACTAAAATCCTAGTGCTTGTAGTTCTGATACCTGTATAAGGAAATACTCTACAGAGGTCTTTTAACACAGGTTTTCACTGAGAATATTTTTTTCACTTGATGCCCCCCTTTAAAGGGCTGACATTTTCCATGTTGAGTTTTAAAGTGAGTGGATTCAGTGCTGCAGGATTGTCTCTCTGTTTGCTTTTGCTCTTTTGTCTTTGGCCACTGGGAAAAGGGGAAGAAGGACCCTTTCTTTAAGGTGTGTATTGAATTGCTGCATGAGGGAAACATCATCTTCTGGGCTTTTTTTTAAGATGAAAAATACTACATTAAACTCATGACAGCTCACTGGGTACTACGTAATTTTTCAAGATGCCTTTGAAAGAATCCCCACCCTCCAAAGCTAGCATTCATAGCAACATGGGGACATCTACAGATCAGATCTATCCAATTTCCTTCTGAAAAATGCTTTAACTTTTCTGACAGAATACAAGAGGCAGCCTGTCCAGGTCCTCTTGCAGCTGTTCCATGTCTCTTCGAGACTAATGGCTGGCAGTCACTGCAGCACTGGAGAGACTAGGGATGAGTGGAGAGTATCCCACTGTGATTCATGGAGAATCATTAGGAGATTTCCTAATTGTGTTTTGAATTACTTACAAACTTCAAATAGTGCTGGCTTGCAAACAGTCAGCGGGTGGGTGTGTGTATATATGGAATTAATTTAATGAAATCTAATAAATGCTGTGGAAATCACTAATTGATTTTGCTAGTCCCAGTAAGGCAAACCTGGCTTCTTCCCGACACTGCTGTTCTCTGATTCCTTGCTATATGGTTTGTATCTTATTTCCCTTAATCAAAATATTCCTTTTGGCAGGTTCTTCTCCTCATGGGTTCACTTCAGTTATGGGAATTTCCTCCTGAAGTGTCTCCTACCTTCTTTCCCTCCCTGAAAAGTGCTAGTTGGAAGCTGACACAATGAAAGTTCAGGTGCAGTAGCAGAACATAAGGAGATGCAGTTTGTCACATGGTTTCAGTTGGGTTATACATAGTGCTGTACAAAACCACTACCTATTGTTTTTTTCCTTTAGGTATTTGAGCAATTTGGGTGGTGATAGAGAGGACTATGTACAACTTGAAAAAAACATGGGTTTTTAGGAAAGCAGAGATGCTTTGCATGCATTACTGTTGCTGTCTTTCTGCTTACCACTCTGCTTCAGCAAATTTCTCTTCTGGGCTCCCACTGATGTGTGTCCTTGGTGGTCCAGCTTCTCCTGAGCACACCTTGTCAGGGGGTTAGCTTCAGCTTCAGAGTTAACGAAGGAATCCAGAGGAACAGAGAGAACTTTGCATTCCTGCATTTTAAA